GGGGGGCGGCGGGGGGGGGGGGCGCTCCTCGGGCAGGGCTGGAGCCCCCCGGCACCGGGGCTCCCCGGGACGTTGGCTTTGGGCTGCTTTTAGCTGCTGCCGCCCGACTCTGCTCCCCGGGACGGCTGCGGTCCCGTTCCTGGAGAGCGGGTGACAGCATCCCCACCCGCATCTTTTGGGGGTGTCAGTGGGCCAACCCCCCTCTTCAGCGTGCAAAGGTCTGACCGCTCTCACGGGGGCTCTGGGTCCCGTCTGGGACTGTACCGAGGTTCGGGTGGAGGGAGGAGGATGTCTGGGCCCCCCGTGGTACCTTCCAGCCCAAAAACCCACCCAGAAGCCTTTGGGAGCCTCCCCTCTGCCCTGCTCATGGGGAAACTGAGGCACAGCACATCAAGATGACTTGCCCGGGGTTTTCCAGCAAGGCTCGTGGCAGGGCTGGGGCTCGAAGCCGGGCCCCGGAGCTCGTCTGTGCACCCCACAGCCCAGCCTGTGTGCAAGGAGCAGGGCCTGACCCTGCTCCCGGGAGCTGCGGGCGTCACTGGAGGCTCTCAACCCCCCCTGTGCGTGGGGGGGGACTGGAATTTTGGGGTCTTTCCCCGCGGTTTGGCAGTGAAGCCGGTCTGACCCGCGTGCGTTGCTCCCTGCAGGCGTGAAGAAGAGGACTAAAGTCATCAAGAACAACGTGAACCCCGTATGGAACGAGGTGAGCGGGTCCCCGTCCCCGTCCCTGTCCCCGTCCCCGCGGGGGACAGCCCGGGCACAGAGGATGCCGTGGGACCCAGCAAGGTGCCCCAGGTACAAGGGGCTTGCGGGGGCCCAGTGATGCCCTGGGGTTGCCACCCCGCGGAGGGTTTGGGGCCGGTCCCCATCACGGGCCGCTTCGTATCCGAAATTCCGGGCACCGGCAGCGGAGGAGCGGGACTGAGCCAGCTCCGCACGGCCCTTTGCTGCAGCCTTTTCCCCTTCCATCAAGATCTTATCAGGGCTAAGCACGCACATTAAAAGAGGCTGTTTAAAAATATTGCAGCTTGAGGGGAAAACAAGTGTGTTTTACTCATCAGCCTGGCCCAGGGGAGGATATTTTTTCCAGCACCTTCTTCCTTCTAACCCTGACCTGTGCTTTCATGGGTCAAAATAAAAAAAAAAAGGGGTTTTGGTGAGCAAACTGACGCCGTTTTGGTGCAGAAACGCTGCGTGCCAGCTCCCATCGTTTGCTCCTTCGCTTTTAAGCCTTGACGAGGCGAAGGCCTTTGCCTGGGGAACGTTTTTTCTGTGTGTCTACTGGGATATTTTGCTGGGGGTGCTGAGGTTTGTGCCAAGGGGCCGGGCCGGGGCCGTCAGTGCCGTGACGGTGAAGCGGGTCTGGCACTTTGGTTCTCCTCCGAGAACCGCCGGCGGTGCCGGTCGATGCCGGCGTGAGCATCGCGGCCCTGGCTGGGCGCTGATCCTGGCTCCCCTCTCCTCCCCTCCAGGGCTTCGAGTGGGACCTGAAGGGAGCTCCCCTGGACCCCGGCGCCGAGCTCACTGTCGTCGTGAAAGACCATGAGACCGTGGGGAGAAACAGGTAGGAGAAGC